ATCTCTTACTTGTTATACACAGATCTCATATGCATTCTCTGTTGTGTTCTAAACTCCACAAACCTATCCTGCCTTCTGACTTCTTCCAGATGTGTGATGCAGAGCACTTGCTGCTGTACATGGGTCATCCCATAACTCAAACAAAAATTAGTTTTGAATTCTGAGAAGGCTCCTATTTCCTTAGTTTCTTGTCTTCTGAATAGCTTCTTTCTTCTATGCTTTTGTCATTCTAAGAGCTCTCTCTAAGTCTGCAATTGAACAGGGCAACATGTTCATTTATCTTTCAGTGATAATACAGAAATGGTACTGTTTCTACAGAAACGCTGAATGTCCTCTGAAAAGAAATGGATAACTTCCAGAAGCAGCCAACTTTAAAAAAATTAAAAAATCCTCACTTTGGAGTTGCATACAAACCTACAACATATAGTGCGCTTACATGTACCAACAGTTGGATGACTCTCTCCTTTATCAACTCACTCTGCTGCAGGCACTTACACACAACTCAATCATTACAAGCTTCTTAAATAATCAGTCTAATCTTGGATGTAAGACATAGTGCTAAACATATCTTCCTGTTGCAATTACAATTATTAGATTTTTTTTTTATGGTAGAGTATACAAAGTGTAGTTGGTTTAGGTGACTATACCGAAGTCATATGCACTTGATTAGATGCAAGTTACCTTACAGAATATGGAGGACCTTCTTGCCCTCACTGGTTTATTGTTAAAGTTTTCAGTAAGGCTCTGACTAAGAATCATAACTAATGCTTACAGAAGTTCAAAAAGTTCAGGGTGTTACACTAGCCCACTATCTCACTGTGCTCACATCCACTGTTTTGTCTCCATAAAAGTTCAACAAGTGTTAACTCCAATGGATGGAGGAATTCAGTTATACTTTACTCTGTATGTCACTTGACATGGAAGTCAGACTGCCCTTTTGCTGCCATCTGTTGCACAGCAACAAAATGTAGCAGAACATTGGTGGGAAGTTTCAGCCTCTACTGCTACACTACTGACAGACATCTGCCTTTGATATGGTGGGCCAACATCATAATACAGGAGGCATTATTTTCAGAAGAGCCTTCATAAATACTGCTTATTGTCCAAAATAATCTCCTTGTAGCCAAATTAAATTCATCTGTCATACTCCAAACTGTGGAAATGCTTTTGCCTATAGAGGTAGAAAGTGCCTTCTGTGACTGTAAGTCTTAAAAATATCTTTCAAGTGAATTTCTTGAATTGGACATATAGGCCCATTAATCTTGTGTTCTAAACAGCAATATTATGGAATGTAGTAATAATTTTCTACTGAAAACAGACTCTTCAAGGTATGAATCACAAATCTGAATATCTGAATCAGAAGTGATCTTTGATTGAAAGGTTTAGTTGATGATGAAACTTTGTGTAATGCTGACTTCAGGGAATTTCAGACTGAGAAACTCCTATTTCACATGTTTCATCCTGTATATCTTGAGCTAGGACAACTCTTCCTTCTGACCTGAACTTCGACATCATGTCACTAAAAATAGCACTTGCTGACAGCACCAGTGAACCTTCTCTGACAGTTATTATTGATGGTATGAACCAAAGGAAATTGATGGTAGAAGAATGTATTTTGATTCTTGAAAGGCATTTTGCATTGATAACTGGTCATTTTCCATTTAAATGATATTAAAATTTTATCTGCCAGAACATGTTCCAAATGTAGAACTGAGGGAATGTTCAGAAAACTAAAATCGTATGGAAAATAAGATGTACAGTTTAATTGTGGTATTGGCTTTAGAGATCCTGGTATTTTTTTCTGTGGTACAGTAATTCCTGAATATTCCTACCCTCCCTTCTCCTTGCTTTCTGAGGCACTGTTAGTTACCATTTCAGTGCTCTGCCTTTCCTGTTCATTGGCTGTGTATACAACACTTATTTTGTGATGGCTAGTGAACGAAGCTTACCAGTGAGACTGTCAGCCCTGTCTTAACACTGGAATACATAAGAGATGTTGTTTCTGAATGTTACAGTTCAAGAGCTCCTTCAGCAGTAGAAGCAGGCTATCCAGCAAGAGGTTACCAAACTGGAAAACATATTTGAAACAAGTGGAGCAAGTTACATCTGCTTTCAAATGCTTTTGTTGGAGAAAAGATGTGCAGCCTTCATCAGAACCCTGACACTGCTGTGTGAGCTACTTACTAGTACTGCTTGTAAATTTTACACTGTATAAACCAACCGGAAGGCTGAGTACTGTGGAAAGGTAGAGTGCCACAAAACCAAAGTAGCTGTCAGAAGGAGGATTTCCTGTGACAGATCCAGCTTTGTGGTTGTTCATTATGGCCCATATTGGCCTCTTCAAAACATAGTATATCATCTGTGCGATTTATTGAAGAGTGTGCTGTTTTACTGGAGAGATTATTATGCCATCTATTGTTGTTTATACAATTTTCCACAATCAGATTAACAACTTTTTCAGTTCTAATCTTCACAGACTTTTGTCTCTCTTTTTACATTTAGCACCCTAAGATCTCTAAGTTTAACATCTTTGCTCCTTGCTTATCAGACAAGTACAAAAGGCTTGAAGCTGTTCTATGGTGTTAAAATAAAAAAAAAAATTAAAATCACCATGAGAAAACCTAATGATTATTAAACATTTGGTGTCAGCATTAGATCTTCATGGCTTCAGTAGCTGAGGAAGATTCTTATCTAAATTTTATTAGAAGTCATAAAGTCAGCTCCTACTGCTATCAATTAGATGTGTTTCACTAGGAAACACGAGGTCCTGGATCTGAACTTTATAAGTACTGTTAAAATTCTTTTGTTCTACAAGTTTATATGCAAGTGCATTCCTGTGTTAAAGATTTTGGTTTCAGATTAGAAATGTAAGCTATAGAGTTTATTTCTGCACTAGATAACTCATCTTTCATTCTTTATGCCACATAGGCTCCAGAAGAATCCTTCTCAGCAGCCAAAAGAAATCACTCTGCACTTGCCTGATATTTAACACCAGCATCTAGGAGGGCAACCTAGGAGTTGAGTGAGAGGAAGTAGCAACACCCCATTTAGCTAGAGTGCACCAGAAAATCTTACATCTCCTTTCTGCCTCTTGTCAAGCACATTCTCAATTTTGGTTTGAAATGTCTGCTCATTTTTCTTAATAAACAACTCCCACTTAAAAGGTAGAGTATTAAAGCATAGCTTAGAATCAAGAAGAAAGCCATCCTAACCTCAGTGAGTTAGCATGGAGAGAGTTCTAGTACAGATAGACAAGGAAAAAAGGCTTGAAAGCAATCCTTCAATGGATCCATGCCACATTAGTCTTGTGAAAGATACAGGGTGATTAAAAAAAAAAAAAAGTGTAAATGGGTGAAAGGGAAAAGAGAAAGGGAAGTGAAAATAAAAAACTTCACCAGGAATAAAAGCTATATGCAATAGGGGGTGTAGAGATCACTCAGGCGTGAACATTCCTTCTGTCATACTCTCCTTTTAATCTAATATAGACATAAAAGCATCATTTTTTGTATTAACAATATTTTAAGTGATGAACCTATCATAACAAAAAAGATAAATATGTACACTTACAATTCAGTTTTTTCTTAAAACTTTTACCTTATCATGAGCATAATTTCCATTACAAAATATTCTGATATTTCCTGTTCCTGCCTCTTCTTGGAAGGAAGGAACTCCCACCTTTCAAATGCAGACTAATTTCAGACCTCACAGACTTCAGTATTGTTTGGAGTAGAATCCCACACGCTGTCTATCTTTTCTTGTTTGAACTTTCAACTGTTAATTCTAGGGAAGAAAGGAGTTTGGATTATCCAATCACATATGGATTGCACAAGTAGCATCACTGTCTATAGCAAGGGGAGCAGTGAAGTTAGCATCTGTTTCCAGGAGGGATGCAGAACTGAGGAAAATATTTTTTTCAAAAGGATTATATTGATGTAACAACTTACAGGATGTATGCTGAAACCATAGACCAGAAGAACACCTAAACTTCTGAGAAACGCATCAAGTACACTTCATGAGTATCAAATCAGAGAAAGGAAAAGCTTCATATGTATACCTTTCCTCAACTGTGGTTAGAACTTTCTTGCTGTAAACAAGTGTGCAGGTCAGGAAGACCACACTGCATACAGCTAATGGAATTTAATGGAGTACTCAGTAAGTATCAGACAATTAGATACTCTGGACTGGAGTTGGGTCAGAATGTCTACTGAGTCACAATATTTGCCATGTATCTGCAGGATGTTATGAGTGAAGATAGAAGTTTACACTCCAAACTCTGCTAATGACATACTTTGATCTCTTGATAAATAGAGTTGTTATTTAGCTAAGGATGCCTCAAACTTCATTCAGTGATAAAATTCAGCTTAATTTCTTTTTTTTTCCCCAAAAAAGATTAGCAAAATACTTTCAGAAGGACTGTTCTGTTAGTAAGACTAAGTAACTTTCTGATAGATCACGATTCACAATTACATCACATATAGGAAGCAGCCAACCAACACTGAAAAGCTGTTACTTAAAGCTGTGGCAGTGTTTTCTTATTTGGAAGATATGTGGAATTAGGATAGCTTGGCAAAATGTTAATTATTTAATGTTAATTATTTTTCAGAACATGTTCCTGCTATTGCAATACTTCCCACTTCTGTACCTGTCATTGCTTAATAGTCCACCAATAGAAACAAGCATTTGGGATATTCAATTACATGTGAGAATAAACAGTGACATAATCCCAAGATCTGCACTGGAGCTGGCACAGCCCGTATGTTTATAGCAAAGCTAGCAAAAAAAAAAAAAAAAAAAAAAACCAAAAAAAATTTGCAGATTTTTGTTTTCAACTTCTATAGTAAGTTAGCTATAGAAAGTATTGATAGCCTGAGGCATTGATTTACATTATAAACCTTGATGCTAAAACTTGGTTGGTTAGGATAAATCAACACACTGTTGTCAACAAATCCCAATTTTACTATGGACAACTGATACATTGAGTTCTATGCTGCCAGAGTGTATAATCAATAGATATCAAGATGTTATAATCACAATACAATCAAGAGAGTTAGACAAAGTGGACAACGATCACAAGAAGAGAATAAGTGGAAGAGCTTACCCTTCGGCTGAGCTCACCACAAAACACCAAGAGAGGTGATCTCCAGAAGAGATCCTTCCCCTCTGGTAGCCAGCTCTTAAATAGGTCTAGGAGGGGTGGAGCCTGGCTGCACCCCTTCCGGCAGCACAGGTGAATTGCCTTCACCTGTGCTCCTCTGGCTGACTCATGGCTCACCTCAGGTGATCAATCAGAGGTTCAGGCCGTGACTCAGCAGTTCCCATACACTCCACCCCTTCACAGCGTGAACGAATGATCAGGTTAACAAAAGGGTAAGCTTTCCCTAATACAGAGATCCAGTACATCGCGACGCTTATACAATTTTATCACGACGTGTGTTGGTGCAGTTCAAGATGAGTGATGATCAGTGAATGTCTATATTTTTCTATAGGCCAGTGCTCGATGATGTGACTGGAGGCATGAGGTCCTGAGGTGCAGGTCCGTTCTATGTTCCATCAGTCCCATGCAGACCATCACCGGGTGTTGTACGTGATCTGACAGCAACACTGGAACACTTGAAGGCATTTTGTTCCTTCTGGTGGTCCTGAAGGCTCACAGACTCACGGGGAGTAATACAGATGTTTCACAAGTACCAGGAGGGGAAGGTCTGCTCTCCAGGGCAAGACACAGGCCGTATTTCTATCTTGGGTCAACACTTCCACTTGTACTGGGGCACGTCCTGGCCGCCTGTACCACACCTTTTGGATATCTGCGGCTGCATAACGATATCAGACACCAAAGGAGGTGTCCTGATCTGCCACAGGGACATGATGGGGGTCCCTTTAGCAATAAAGATCGGAGTGTTGACCACAATATCAGTAGGCCATGTACCTATTACTGGAGAGACTACTGAGCCTCCCACCTCCAATAGTCTCCCCCAAGGTGCAAGTAGGCCACACCACTTGGGTCCTACCTGCACCTTCCAGGGCCATTTTATTTTATGGGTACCTGGCTCTAAATTCTCAGGGGCAGGGAGCAGAAGATTATTTTTGTTACCAATCTGGGGTCTTACCTGATGATCAGTGCCTGTAATTTGGATCCTAAGCGGGGTGGCCCATGTCGTCTGCAACATTCTCAGGGCACTGGGTCTGCCGTCTCGAGGTCTTTCATTCAGGTCCCGCAGGGTTTCATACAGCCTTTTCGTCCACCTCTGCAAGGACTGGGAGTCTGTCTTCAGGGCAGCCTTAAGAATACCGTTATAACGTTCGATGAGGCCTGCCCCTGTTGGATTATATGGCAGGTGGAATCGCCATTCGATGTTATTTTCTTCTGCCCAGTGCTGTATCGTTGTACCAGTAAAATGAGTCCCTTGGTCGCCCTCGATGACTTGAGGTGTCCCGTAGGCAGACATCAGTTTAGTGAGTGCCTTGATGGTATATGCCTGGTTTGCTTTCGGTACTGGATAGGCCTGCAGTAGCCCACTTGCAGTGTCGACACAGGTCAGGGCATATCTTGCCCCTTCGGAGCGAGGAAGGGGCCCGATGTAATCGACCTGCCATCGCTGGAGAGGATTGTGTCCCCTAGCAAGATGGGCTGTTGTTTCGGGCAACGATCTCAGTCTCATCTTGGAGCAAGCGTCGCAATCCTGGCATGCCTGGACGATATCAGATAGTTGTATGGGCAGTCCCCATGCTTTAGCAGCTGCCCACATTGTCTTTTGTCCAGCATGCCGTAACTTCTGATGTAACCAGCGGGCGATGTTCTCAGATGGTGAATCCTCAATCCATCGAACTCGAGCCAGTGTGTCGGCTTCATCGTTTCCCAGTGACTGTAGGGGCTGATGACCAGAAACATGGTAGACACGTACAGTCCTGTGTTTGACCATATTCCATATATCTAACCACATGTCTTTGCCCCAGATCGGTCAGGCGTGGATAGTCCATTCCTGGGTGGCCCACTGTGCAATCTAAAGAGTGAGCCCCCGGTACACAGCCCAACTATCTGTGCAGATGTTCAGGATACCATCACCGGGTTCCTTGGTTATAACCATCCACACGGCCCGCAGTTCTGCCCATTGGCTGCTCTGACCATCCACCTCATCAAACCAGATTGTCTTGGTGGAAGGATGGTATGCTATTGCTCTCCACTTGCTCAGGTTGCCCTTGCTGGACCCATCTGTGTACCAGGCATCTTCAGGGATAGGATATTTTCCCTCCTGAATGGGACTCTTCTCTGGTGGAGCGACCAGTATTTCTTTTGGTGCATCACTGTGATATGTAACTGGGCCTAGGATCTTCTGGAGTTCTTCTTTCAAGGGTAATGAAGACAGACTGCTCCTTTGTAAGCTCTCTCCCAGGAGAGCTGGGCTGAAGCCAATAGGATGAGTTTCAACAAGGCCAAATGCCGGGTCCTGCACTTCGGCCACAACAACCCCAGGCGACGCTACAGGCTTGGGGCGGTGTGGCTGGAGGACTGCGTAGAAGAAATGGACCTGGGGGTATTGATTGATGCTCGGCTGAACATGAGCCAACAGTGTGCCCAGGTGGCCAAGAAGGCCAATGGCATCCTGGCTTGCATCAGAAACAGTGTTGCAAGCAGGAGCAGAGAGGTGATTGCTCCCCTGTATTCAGCACTGGTGAGGCCGCACCTCGAGTACTGTGTCCAGTTTTGGGCCCCTCACTGCAAGAAAGATATTGAGGCCCTGGAACATGTTCAAAGGAGGGCAACAAAGCTGGTGAGGGGTCTGGAACACAGGCCATATGAGGAGAGGCTGAAGGAGCTGGGAATGTTCAGCCTGGAGAAGAGGAGGCTCAGGGGAGACCTCATTGCTCTCTATAACTTCCTGAAGGGAGGCTGTAGTGAGCTGGGGGTCGGCCTCTTCTCTCGTGTCATTAGTGATAGGACCAGGGGGAATGGCTTCAAGCTACGGCAGGGGAGATTCAGGCTGGACATGAGGAAGTATTACTTTTCAGAAAGGGTGGTCAGGCACTGGAACGGACTGCCCAGGGAGGTGGTGGAGTCACCAACCCTGGGGGTGTTCAAGGAAAGACTGGATGTTGTGTTGAGGGACATGGTTTAGTAGGAGCTATTGGGAATAGGTGAACGGTTGGACTGGATGATCTTTTAGGTCTTTTCCAACCTTGGTGATTCTATGATTCTATGATTTGGCTGAGATAGGCGACCCATGGTGCCACTCCTATCTTAGGAAGGTGGGTCAGATCTTTCACCCACCCCTGAATTGGCAGAGTGGTCTTGATTGTAACTACAGCTGTTTGAGTTACTGGCTCTACTGCCTGTAATGCCGAATAGGCAGCCAATAACTGTTTTTCAATCATACTGTATCTTTCTTCTGCTCTGTGCCAAATCTGAGACCAGAAACCAATGGGGGTCCGAACAGAGCTCTGGCATTGCCACAGGCCCCAACCAAAGCCGTCTTGAGTAACATGAACGTCCAACTCGGCTGGGAAGGTAGGATCGAATATACCCAATGCGTGAGTTTGTTTAACTGCCAGTTTTGCTTGTTGGAAAGCATCCTGTTCGGTTTTCCCCCAGTCCCATAGCTGCCCCTTTTTTGTGAGTCTGTATAGTGGCCTTAGCAGCTGCGCTAGGTGAGGTATAAAGGAAAGCCAATAACCCAATATACCTAGAAACTCTTGCAGCTGCTTTGATGTAGGGACTGGGAAGGCCTGAACCTTATCTATAACAGCACTGGGTAGCACTTCGGTCTTTCCTGACCAAACCACCCCCAGGAATTTTATGGACAGGCCTGGACCTTGCTCCTTTTGGGGATTTATAGCCCATCCCCTCTGTTGTAAATAGGCAGTTAATGAATCTGCTGCCTGTCCTACTGCCTCCAGTGAGTCGGATGTGAACAGGAGATCATCAATATAATGATATAGGTTAACATCATCAGGTTTTCTCCAATCAGCCAGGTCACGCGCCACTAGATTGTGACAATATGTTGGTGAATGCACGTACCCCTGTGGCAGGACCTGAAAGGTCCACTGCCTGCCTCCCCACATAAACGCAAACTGATCTTGCGATTCCTCAGCCATTGGAATACTGAAGAATGCATTTGCTAGATCTAGGACACAATGATAGGTTTTTATCTCCCTACTCAATGTGTCCATTAGGGAGGCAATATTGGGTATGGCTGCATGAATGGGCGGCTTGACTTTATTTAATTCTCTGTAATCTACTGTCATCCTCCATGTGCCATCCGACTTTCGCACTGGCCATATGGGGGAGTTATATGGGCTGTGTGCAGGTCTTATAATACCCACTTTTTCTAATTTCTGCACCATTCTCAATATTTCATCTTGCCCACCTGGGATACATCTCTGTCGAAGTCTGAACTCTCCCACAGTTGTTTGGAGAGCCAGACCCCATAGAATATCTATACCCAGGATGTATTCTTTGACTGGGGCAATAGACACTTTGTACTCCCGGGGTGGGAGACGCCCAACCCCCAGTTTTAACCATGTTTGGGTGACAGGAATAGTCTGTCCCCCAAAACCACCAATCATCACTCTGTCACCATCAGATTTTCCCGGATCTCCATAGATAATTGATGTTTCTGCTCCGGTGTCTACCAATGCCTTTACTCTCTGAATATTTTTTTTGGACCAATAAATCGTTAATTCTACATAGGGCCTCCGGTCCCGTCTGGAGGCCCTACGGGGACTAACATCCCTTGTCACTCCATGAATTGTGCTAGGGCCAATTCTTTGGCTTCTGATGGCTCAGTCATTGTGGCCCGAGACACCTGAGGTGGCTTCTTTTTCCTATTTGGAATAATAAAATCTTCTAGGTTCCATGTTGTTGTTGGAACCCTCTCTATAGCTCTTACCCTTGATTTCTTAGGGTAGCTCTGGAATTGTTGATTGTCCTTTAGTTGTCTCCAGAGCTGGAGAAGGACATGGTTGGACTGGCAGTTGATCTTAGCAAATTGGACCCCAGCCCAAATTAAATCATTAAACATTTGTTTTCAGGATACCCTTATGGGTTCTGATGGAGGAACTCGAGTAGCCGGCATTTTGGTTTTATTTACCGGCAGGACCTCTGCTTCCTCCAAAAACCAAATATTGCGCCTAGTCCGCAGACGTTCTGTTTCTCCCAAGTCGGCAACTAGCTGGGCAGCCTGCTGGACTACAGATTCTGATGCTACAAGGGGATTTAATGTGGAGACTAGGGTGCCATACAGACGGGAGGGAGCTTGCTGTAAAATTAAATCTCTCATCCCTGCTGAAAATTTAACCATATCAAGGCCATCAAATGTATCTTCATAGATAGCCTCTCTTACACCCAGTTCACAGATATAGTTTTGAAGGTCCTCCATGGAGGACCACATGCCTGTATGTAAAGATATGTCTGATTTATTCGGCCATACCATACGGCAGGCTGCCATTAACCATTCTAGTACAGAATGGTTTTCATCGCAATATTGATTACCTACGTATAACCTCTGTCTGAGAGCAGGATGGACAGTCATGGTGGCCAACTTAGCTGTTTCTGGGCCATTCACCAAGACACTTTCTGCCCCAGAATCCCACAGTCTCAATAACCAAGCCAGCACACTTTCTCTAGGCTTCTGCTGAAATCGCTGTACTAAGTCCATCAATTCTGTTGCCATGTATGGCCAAGACGTTATCACAGAATTGTAGGGGTTGGAAGGGACCTCCAGAGATCATCGAGTCCAATCCCCCTGCCAAAGCAGGTTCCCTACACCAGGTCGCACAGGTAGGCATCCAGGCAGGTCTTGAACATCTCCAGAGAAGGAGACTCCACCACCTTCCTGGGCAGCCTGTTCCAGTGCTCCGTCACCTCACTGTAAAGAAGTTCTTGCGCATGTTTGTGCAGAACTTCCTATGCTGCAGTTTCCAGCCGTTTCCCCTTGTCCTGTCTCCACTCACCACTGAAAAGAGTCCGGCCTGGCCATTCTGCCCCCCACACCTTAGATATTTATAGACCTGGATCAGGTCCCCTCTCAGCCTTCTTTTTTCAAGACTGAATAGACCCAGTTCACTCAGCCTTTCCTCATAGGAGAGATGCTCCAGGCCCTTCACCATCTTCGTGGCCCTCCACTGGACTCTTTCCAAGAAATCCTTGTCTTTTTTGTACTGGGGAGCCCAGAACTGGATGCAGTACTCCAGATGAGGTCTTACCAGGGCAGAGTAGAGGGGGAGGATCACCTCCTTCAACCTGCTGGACACGCTCTTTTTAATGCACCCCAGTAAGCCATTGGCCTTTTTGGCCACAAGGGCACACTGCTGGCTCATGGCCAGCCTGTCATCCACCAGGACACCCAGGTCCCTTTCCGCAGAGCTCCCCTCCAGCAGCTCATCCCCCAACCTGTACTGATGCATGGAATTATTCCTCCCCAGATGCAAGACTCTACACTTGCTTTTGTTAAACCTCATCCGTTTTTTTTCTGCCCAGCTCTCCAGCCTATCCAGGTCTTGCTGAATGGCAACATAGCCTTCAGGCATGTCAGCCAATCCTCCCAACTTGGTATCATCAGCAAACTTGCTAAGGGTGGCCATTATCCCCTCATCAAGGTCGTTGATGAAGATGTTGAACAAATTTATGTGTAAATGAGTCTGGGCAGGGGGCCATTGATCAGGCGGCACCCCTGCCAGTCTGTCCTGTACTTTTTTTTGTTTTCTGGATTACGACAGGTTGGATTTCCAACGCATCAGTCAGAATTGGACATCCAAGGTCTGATTTGGATTTCTTGTTCTCCTGATCAATGAAGTCTGTTGATTCAGGAGTCTGGTCATCACTTATTGAAATGTTATGAATTTGGCCTACAGGAAGATGTAGAATTGACTTCTTCCCTGTTAAAACGCCAAGTTCGTGCTCCAGCTTTTCAATGCGGTCTTTCAAAAGCTGATTTTCAGTTTCTAAAGTATTATTTCTTATATCTGCCTGATTTAAGGCACTTAGTAATGGCCATGCCACCATGGAGGCAGCCAGTTGTCTTTCTTTAGTAATGAGGATATCCTTGCCAAGTCCTTGAAAATAGTCCACCATGCGATATGGGGAGATACTGCCCATAGCGCGTAAGGGACCCCATTTTTCAATGATAGCACCTAACTCATAATAGGGCGATCCCTCAAATCCTGGGATCTGCCCTGGAATCATTTTCTCCAGAGGAATATTGTTCTCCCCATTGACCCATTTATAGAAATTCCATAGAAAAGACATGATGTTAATTTTAGTATATTCGGCCTGCCTGGCTCGCCAAGTGTATAATCAATAGATATCAAGATGTTATAATCACAATATAATTGTATAATCAATAGATATCAAGACGTTATAATCACAATACAATCAAGAGAGTTAGACAAAGTGGACAACGATCACAAGAAGAGAATAAGTGGAAGAGCTTACCCTTCGGCTGAGCTCACCACAAAACACCAAGAGAGGTGATCTCCAGAAGAGATCCTTCCCCTCTGGTAGCCAGCTCTTAAATAGGTCTAGGAGGGGTGGAGCCTGGCTGCACCCCTTCCGGCAGCACAGGTGAATTGCCTTCACCTGTGCTCCTCTGGCTGACTCATGGCTCGCCTCAGGTGATCAATCAGAGGTTCAGGCCGTGACTCAGCAGTTCCCATACACAGAGTTTTAGTTAGAGCTTCCAAAATCATCTTTATTATTCTAATTTCTAATTCATGTTATTTCTAACTTAAGATGATTGGAAAAGCAAGTAATTATCTCAGAATCAGAAAGTCTCATCAGATTCTCCCCTTTGTGTACCTACCTCTGTGATCCTGCACTCTTACCTGCTAGGGCTGTTATGGTTTGTACTTCAGCTAACACCAGGATAAAAGCTGTTTAGATTACTGCCACATGTCTGTATTTGTAATTTCCTTGGTACAATAAGGTATTTGGACTGCTTGTTCTCATATCTTTCCTAGCACTTTCCCCAGCTATGTTTATATATGTGCTAAAAGTATTATCGATACAATTTTAGACACTTCTTGAAATTATTTGCATCAAAATTTGTGATGTGACCCACCCATAATGATGTGATCTTCATTATGCTTTTGGTGGAAATACTTTTTTAAAACAAGGCAATTCATTTTTATTTTTCTTGATTCAGCCATTTCAAGATACGGACAACTCCAACATAAAAGATAAATAGTGAACCCAGGTAGATCCTAATTAGCTCAGGAGAAACCACTGAGACCACAATGAAAATTCTAAAGGAGAAGCCTAACTGTGCTGTTTTGTTAACAGTGCAGTTTTGTTTGTATGTTTCTTAAAAATCTATTAAGAAGATTATTGATTTTTTAAATTTTGTTTTGTTTTTAAATCTGTTACCACAATAAGAGCACTGGCTGAGTGCCAGGACAGACAAAGATTGTTCCATGTGAAAATGTAGACCTTGATAGGAGATGATTGCTTATTTAACTGCCAAAAAACAACCTAGGCTTGCCTGAATCTGGGCAGAACAAAATTGTTCTTAGAGTCTAGCCACAATAAAGGGTCTGATGAAAGTCTGGGCCCAAAAGTGAAGAAAGGGTTTGGTTTTTTGTGTTTGTTTTGATTTCAGCACATTCAATAAAGCATATAATTTTATATGGCTCTTTAAGAGATCTGCTCTAGAGTCCAGATATAACAACTTTTAGGAAAAAGGGGGAAAAAATTACTCTCTGTGCCAACATAGAACAGACACAAATTTTGCACTCTTCTTCAGTATCATTTTAGAGTTCTGTTCATATCTGCATACGAGTGACATATAGTGAAAAGGATAATCAAGATAATGAGTTATTTTTACTTTCTACTGATAAACACAGAAGACATATAAATTCCTGGATACAGAAATATGCAATGAAGAATTTGTGCTGTATACCAGATATCTATCTATATCCATATCCTAAAGTACACATTTCCAAATTGACATTCTTTACAAACTGTAGACTTAATTTGATTATCCAACAACTGTGGTCTACTGTGTAGAATAGTCTACTGTGACTATTCACATTAACATCTTCCCACCTGATCAGAACCATGAAATGGAAAATAAAAATTATTTTTCAAAGCTTGGCAGAAATAAAATTCACCATTGTTAAGTTTATCTACAAAGACATGTATGTTGTTTACATTGAAGGAGAATGGTGATTTGTCCTGTG